TCTTAAATCATACCAACATAGTGGTACACTTCATACCATACAACTTAACCAAATTTTCATCAAGTATATTTCACCCAATGACACAATTTAAAGGAACATTTTAGATATCCAGAGAAAGAACCAATGGTCCACTTCCCTTCCCACTTGGCACAACACATCCATTATGCTCAAGCATTTAAATATCTAAGGAAATGAGTAACATCTCAAATCCTATCTCCGTCGGTCTCAACACACCTGTTATGTTCCCGACTATCATACACCCATGTCTCCATTAAATGTGTCATAATATATTAGGCAAACAATTCTAAAAACTTTCCACTTCTCCTCTACCGAGGATTCTTTCCGACTCTTCTTTTGTCCACCTAATAAATCGAAGGTTACATCAATCCTCGTCAACTAAATCTTAATTGGTTCCTTCCTTACATACGACTTAGTGAATAAGTGACAACGTTAAACTTCCATAATTAGTAACGATCTTACACCTTCTTTGACTCTTGGTAATCCATGCGCATCTATATCGTCCCCCTTTTTTTCGCGACGAACACTACTAGTGCACCCCATGGTGATGTACTATGTCGAATAAAAACCTTATCAAGAAGATCTTGCAACTGCTATTAAATTCTTTCATCTTGTTGTTGTACTATCTCACTGTCACATTTCCTTGTTCCAGTATCAAGAATTCTTCCTCCAACTGCTTGATCGTCATTCGAGGAAAATACATATCACTAAAGATTCTTGAAAACTCATCCCATGACAACCTATTGGTTGTATCCAACACCCTAACTACTTTTACCCTCCCCATTAGTATAAAGCCTCATTTTTAAACATCATCACGATATAAACCGCATTGTCCTTATTTGCACACTTACCGGTATCAAATTTTTCCTCTATCTCCGTGATCCACATTGATGATACGATAAGATCAACGTCCTCGCAACACGTTCATGGTTTACAAGTCATGAACGTCTTGTAGCAATTACCTCATCATTTGTCGTTTACATCTTGCCTTGATCGTACTGCAACACTAGGGTCAGAAACTTGAAGTGACATATTATATCCATAGCCTTGCTCTTCATCAACCATGTTGCCACAATTAACATTCTATTGTGCATCTCGGTCCTGAACATTTACATTCGACAATGTAGCTTGCATATCCTGAGCAATCTCGTCAATTAATTATTCTCGAGTAACCATATTTGTTGTACAACCTTGTCCGTAATCCCGACCCCGACCATGACCTCGATTGGAGTTAGAGCTCAGTTGCACCAATTGTGCTTGTACTGGTGCTATGACGATTCCTAGAACTCTTCCCCTACACCTACCTCCACCTCGACCTTGACCACGCCAACAACTGGAAGTAGGGTTTACGGGAGTCTCTAGTACTTCTCCGAGTGCAGCAACTTCGGATCCAACTAGAATGTCTTCCCGCTCTAGTGTTACCTCTCGCTCCTTCCGTCTAAGCTTAAGTGTTTACGGAAACACCTAATCTGCTTAAACAACTCTCTGATACCAACTTGTAACACCCCGATTTTCAACTATCGATTAAATGACAAATAATCGTTCCAACGTCTCCCATGATCAATTCTAAACTTACGTATAGACTAAACTACAGCGGAAGCAAAATAAAATAAAATAAAATCTTCAATTGAAGAACTTCGGGTGTTACGTCTTTGCGGAACTCCTTTATCGTCTTGTTGTAAAATCCTTCTCCTTGCCTTCTTACTGCCACTTGCTAAATAGTTTTCTGGGTTGCGCACATTTAAAGTTTCTAAATGGGTAAGCCTAGGGCCTAGTGAGTTCGTGTTGCACATATATGTCCATCACTTAAAAAAAAAAATAGTTTTATCATATATCTTCAATAAATCATACAACAAACATATCACCCGATGACATAATTTATGGGAACGATTAATTATCCAGAGAAAGAGCCAAAGGTTCTTTTCCCTTTTCCTTGAGACAACTCATCATCCATTGTACTCAAGTATTTTAAATATCCAAGGAAATGAGTATAGTTCTCAATTCCCATCCCCGCCGATCACACACATCCGTCATGCTCACGGCGATTAAACACCCACCCGTTCCCGCTAAACATGTCATCCAAAAAAAAATGCACACACAATACATAACAAATCCGAAATAACATTTGCACGCAACCATACTTATCATAAAACATATTGTCAATAAATAAATAAAAACCACATAATAACGTATGACAAACATTTATGTGCGAGCAACCACAGAACACGGATAACTCACCTTGTAACCGACAAATCCTATCTGAAGCTTTGTTGCTAACCTGCACCTTAATTGTTCAAACTACGAAAAATAACTTCACAACTTCCTTCAACGAATTCTCCCTTGTTTCTCCACCTTTCTTCACAATTTTTGTGGCATTCCACTCTATTTCTCATGTCTTTTATAATGCCCATGTTTGTAACCTTTCTAGTTAACCCAAAAGTCCAAATTTATGACTCTAATCAAGTGATGGGTTTTGGAATTAAAATTCCATAATTTCTCTATTTACTCTTAATTAATTCATTAATAATTATAATAATATATTTATACCATATGCTTATATATTTATTTTAATTTGAGTTATCACATGTTAATCTCTCCAAGTAAGTATTCTATAATTGATTTAGAGTTCTTCATGTTTATGCATAAAATTGATCTTGGATTGTGCCTTTAATTCAATATTTTAATCATCATCCAAATTTGTTTTATTTAATATATAAATAATTTTTATCGTCTAGACATTATCTAAAATATTTAAACTACAATACATCATTAAATATTTTTGTTTTCTATTTTTTATCTAAAAAAAAATTGAAGCATTAAACATCAATTTATTACTTTTTAATTTTTACATGATGTAATTTTTAAGATTTATCTTCATATATCTTATACAAATATATTTATTTTTATGAATTATAGAAAAATAGTATGATGCTATTTTATTTTAAAAATATAAGTATGTGATTTTGAGTTAAAGATAAAAATACGTTTCGGTTTTGGTTTCATAATATAAGTACGGTAAAGTTTATATTGGTTCGATTTAAAATTTTGATATTTAATTTAAAAAATTATTTAGTTTATCAAATTTTGAATATATTCCTTAACAAGACATAAATGTTTCAAACAAAAATTAAAAAACGTATGTTATCTAATAATCAACTACGCTGCTACACATGTTAAGATAATAAACCATTCATTTAATTATGTTTAATTTATTTTATTTAATGGAAAATAAAATTTAAAAGGTTTGTATTTTGTACAAGTGATCAAATAAATTTATTTTTATAAAAAAAATGATACACTATTATTTCTAAAACACCAACCTTTCAAACATATAAAATATTTTTATTTTCCATTAAATAAAATGAATTAAACTCAATTAATGTTATATTATTCATATGGTTAATTATTTTAGCATGTGTAGCAGCGTAGTTAATTATTAGCTAACAGACGTTTTTTAATTTGCATTTGAAAAGTTTATGTCTTTATTAAGGAATATATTCAAACTTTGATAAAACAAAATAAAATTTTAAAATTAAATATCAAAGTTTATATCAAACCAATATAAAATTTACCGTACTTATATTATGAAACCAAAACTGAGACATAATTTTATCATTAATTCAAAACCGCATACTTATATTTTAAAAATAAAATAGCAACAAACTATTATTATTTCTATAATAACGTATTTTTTATAATAACTCATCATATTTTTTTTTCATAAAAATTAATATATTTGTATAAGGTAAATGAAAATAAATTTTAAAAATTACATCATGTAAAAATTAAAAAGTAATAAAATGATGTTTTTATCTTTCAAATTTTTTTAGATAAAAAATAGAAACAAAAATATTTAATGATGTATTGTAGTTTCAATATTTTAGATAAAGTTTCGACAACAAAAATAATATATATTAAATAAAATATATGTGCATAATGATTAAAATTTACAAGTTTTAATTTTTTATTTATATAAATATTACATTTTCTATGTTTTATTATTTTTCCTTTATATTTGATTTATGGTAATTAATACAGGATTTAATAGAGTTATTTCAAATTTCACAAATGGTCCTTGCGTATTTCACAAATGGTCCTTAGGAAAGTTTTATAAAATGGCAGAAGTGGTAATTATCCACAATTCTTTCAACTTAACGGATTCATCTAACGGACATCCACAGTAAGGACCATTTATATGTAATGTTTGCTCCGCAGGGACCATTCATGCAAAAACGGTTTCATATGGACTATTTTAGGGATAAACGAAAGAGCTTAAGGACCATTGTGAAATTTTGTCTAAAAAATAATTAAAATATATTTTTATTTTATTTTTTAGATTTGTTTAAAAAATAAATAAATATAAAGAAAAATGAATGAAGAAAAGAAATATGATGCAACGATAAAAAAGTTATGATGAGAAAGAAGTCTCTTCGTACTCTTGGGGGGTATATGAATACTAGCTCTAAAACAAAAAAGATTTGATATTAGCTTTCTTTCTTTTTCTAGGAAATTAGAAAACATCACTTTCATAACTAAATATTTTTTGTTTCATGAAAACTTGACTAAATTTATAAAAAGTTGATGGATTTATAATAAGTAGCTGGATTTACAAAATAAAATTAATTCCCAATTTCATTTATGTACTTGATTTATTTTACAAAATCTTGATTTTACAAAGTATTGACATTTCTCTCAATTTTATAATGCTTAAACTGATTTTATGAATCTTAATGTAGTGTCAGCTCTACTGTAAGTATTACCAAATTTGGCATTTCATTTGACCAATTCTACATAATCTTCGCATATCCATATTTTGGCACGCAATTCATTATACTATATTCGGAATATCTTATCACATTTGCAATTTTTCGAAATAGTAAATATGACATCACAAAATAAAATGAAAATTGTTACATTACAATACACATAACATTTGAAAGATATCACAATATGTTGGATTTATTCTTTAAGTTGAATTTAATTCCGACTTATTAAACCGACAACAAATATGTCATGTTGTGGGTGTGCTAAAAACTTAGCTTTACACCAAGTACTTCCATTAACTTAGCAATGAATTGAGGGTGTTTTGGCCAGCCTACTCCGGTCACTAAATTTCCATCAGCATAGCAACCATCTACTGAGTCAGGTTCTATCCAGGTTGCACCAGCCAATACCACATGAAGTTTGGCAGCAGGATATGCAGTACATTTCTTGCCCTAGTAAATGTAGTAGAAAAGAGTTAAATGCAAGAAATAATGAGTTCAATCCATTGAATGCCAACTAGGTATTCCGGCTCATTCAACCATTCCATTAAACCATGCGGTATGGATGCTCTAATGTCTTATCATGATATTGTAATATGGAAAGAAACCACTAAACTTATCTTGATATTACAACTACACAACTTGTAGTTGTAATATGGTTGTAATTTAAGCTTATCTTTAACATCTAAAGTCAAACCATCCAAAACCAAGCCATCTTCTCTAATGAAAGGTGACTGGGAATGCTACTTAAATCCCAACATTGTACTATAATGAAAGTAACTGAGAATGATTTTGATTATATACATAAATTCCAAAAGAAAAATCCTTACCTTAAGAACATCAGCAGCAGCCAAAATTTGTTGCCCATATCCTATGGATGCAACGACCTTTCGAGAGTCCACAAAATATTTCACCAAATTAATAGCATCTTGGTGTAGTGCCAGGTATTCTGGACCTCGACCTCCAGGGATAACAAGAGCATCATAACTTGAAGCATCTATGTCCTTAAAGGTAGTTGTCATTTCGAATTCATGTCCATTTTTTTCACTAAAATTCTGGTCCCCCTCAAATTCATGGATAGCTGTATAGCACCTATCACCCTTTTCGATTTTGGGGGAAACGGAATCTACATGGCATCCAAGAATTTGAAGGGACTGAAAAGGAACATATATCTCATATTCTTCCATAAAATCCTACAAACGAAGCAAAAAAAAAAAAAAAAAATCACTAAGTAATGGTGTAACCACCGAATTATAGCATCATGCTTTAAAAAATCCATCCAATTATAGCAATGTCATCCGAATACAAAGTAATTTTCACTACTATAAGTGGGTAGATTTTTTAAAATATAATATCTTAATTGAAAAAAAAAATTGAAGTACAATGCTACAATTGACTAAACTATTCAAAGTACAATGTCTTGATAAAAAACCTGAAAGCATAATATTGTAATGGAAAGAAATGGTTAAGGTGCGGAATTTTACACAGATTGTCTATGGTTTAAATCCTGGCATGCCCAAAATGTCACTAGTGTTCCGCGATTGACCTACCATGTGGGTCGGGGGTGATGTGAGCCGCTCAGATGTTGCGATTTACCGTTTTTCTAATAGAAAGAAATGGTAGTAGGATATGATATAATGCACAAATAAATGAAATTATGTTGCTATTTCTTGCAATTGGCCATAAAAGATATATCAAACACTCGAGGTAAGTAGAAACATAGAAAAATGCAAGAAATAGCAAAGTACTATTGGAATTATTTTACTATAACATTGTACTATCGTTTTTCCTTATACTTGCAAATCATATATTCTTAAGGTATTTTACTCTATAAAATCTACCCAATGATAGCAACCTCAGCTCAAGAAGGGAATTACAAATTTACTACTTACCTCACAGAGGACTAGAATCCGTTTGTTGAAACCAGTGACAGTTCCTTTTAATGCCTTAATGAAATTACCAATAAACTCGGCATGCCCATAGTAAGCAGCTCCGGTGATTAAATTTCCATCAACGTAACATGATGCCATTGTCTCAGGTTGTATCCAATTAGCGCCAGCAGTAACAAGCACGGGTCCCAGAGTAGGAAATGCTGTAAGCGTTCGACCTTTCAAAACACCCCCAGCTGCCAAGATAAGTGATCCATGACAGATGGAAGCAATGGGTTTTCCAAATATGGCAAAATGTTTAGCCATTTTCACCACAGATTCATATGTTGCAAGATATTCTGGAGCACGTGCTCCAGGTATAACCAACCCATCATATGAACTTACATCAATCTCATCAAAAGTTGCATTCAGAGTAAAGTTGTGAGCTCTCTCTTCTGAATACGTCTGCAAAAATATAGTAAAGCATAATGAGGGAGTGTTTCTATTTGAAAAAATCTTTATGTTTCTTTTTTGAATGTAAGTGTAAAATGTTCCTTTTTTACTATCCAGACAATGAGAATATGATTTACCCATTTAATCACTTTACCCATACATATATGGCTTGATGGGAAAAAACACCCTAAGAAGACTAAGTACAATAGAAGCAGAACTATCTTATTACTAGTGCATGTAGGGCAAATTCTTACTCGTTCCCTTAAATTTCCAAGTTGTTAGTTCCAATATTTCAAAAGTAACATCCATGGTTCTTACTTGTTCCCTTAATCTTTTATTGTTGTTATTAAATTGGATAGATACATTTTGCATTTTTTGCTCCTGCATGATTCAATATAGTTTAATTGAGTTTTTCCAAACTGGATTTAGCTTGTAATTGAGTGGTGATGTTCTGTAGGCACTGCATTACACAATAGAGTCATAAACTGCACAATTGTTCTGCTGATCTGCTCCGTTTATTAGTTTCGTCTAATGATTAGTTAAATTTGATTTCATCACACTTTATTGCCCTTTAAATTTCCATATTAGGTTAGAATCTGCTTTAGCTTTATTTACTTTCTCTATATTCATTAGATTTCATTTTAACTCATTAAATGAATTAGATATTGTAGTAGTTGATTTGTATTTTTGATCAATAGAATTTTACTGTAATTCTTTGTTAATGTTACTTATGTTAGTATGGTAGTAATTACCAGTTTTTTTTTTTTTTTTTTTTTTTTTTTTTTTTTTGCAAATTTACTTGAAAATGCTTACATACATGTCAATATAATATTAGTACATTAGTATGTTAATTAATAATAATAGTCTGTGTTAGAATGGTAAATATTTTGATAGTTTGTTGGTATATTTTTTGGCATTAGTTATGATGTTAAATTAAGTAACTAGAAATTTAGACTTCAAAAAGTAAACCTTATGTTGGATGAAAATCTAACTTAGGATGTTGTTAATTGGAAAGCAAAAGGCACGTGATGTTGCCATGTTGGTGTAATCTTATTATCTTATACAATCACTTGGGGTTAACGGCCCCTTTTTAACCGTTTTAGGCAATGGACTAAATCCTTAACAAAATGTAAAATTAAGGATGGGTTTGGGAAAATTTTAAAAACCAGACTAAACTTATGATTTTGAGTAAAATAAAGGACTATCCTTGTAATTAACTCTTGATTTTTTTTGAAAGGACAAATATATATTCCTAAACTACTAAAATCCGCTGCGGAACTTGACCCTCAACCTCTCAAGGAAAGAGGGCAACACTAGGCAACAAGCCCATTAGTAATTATCTCTTGATAAAAATTTAATGTGATTTAGTTATAAAGGAAATATCAGATTATTTGCTTTCAAAAAATACGGGAACCATTGTGAGCAAAATAGAAAGGAATCGAATTAAAGTCCAGAAAATTCTTCTTCTTTATGCAAAGCTTAAGAATTATTATCAATTTGTATTTAATGTCTACTGATTTAGTAAGAGGAGGACCTGATGAGGAGTTATACGATAAAGAACCGTGCGACAAATATCACCGGATTTTTTATCAGGGCAAACAGCATCAACCGACAATCCAAACGCTTGCAATGCCTGAAAAGGAACTATTGCCTGCACAACAAAATCATTTTAATCAGAAGCGAAGTCCACATTGAGAACCACTTGTTTATAGCAGCAAATGTCAAAGTTAAGAACAAAAAAAAAAAGGAACCTCAAGGTCTTCCATGTAATCGCCACATAACATCAAGATCTTCTTTGGAGAACCCAAATTAGTCATTATAGATAATCCTTTAAATCAGTGTTTGGAGGAGTAGCCTTTGGACACAAATGTGGACTGTTGGGAAGAAATATGTAATCTACTAAACCCCTTTCATTTATATGAAACCAATGTGGGAAGGTGATAGAGATCGTTTCTATTTTATTTTTAAATCAGATAGTGATTTTTTTTATATAATATAAAAACATAATATAAAAAAAGCTAAGGTATATTTTATTATTTTGAAAATGTTACCTAAGTTAAGTGGGTATAAAAGAAATAATAACTCTATCTTGGAACGCGGTTTTAAGATAAGTATATTATGCCAACTCAATTTACTATTTTTTATCTTTAAAATATTAAGAAAAAAATATACAATCACATCATAGTTTTTATATTTTATAATAAACTACTATAAATAATCAAAGGATAACTTGGATCGAGCATTTATTATGTAAGACAATGAATTAAATGAGAACCTTTAAATAAGATATTTGATTCTCACGCGGCCTTAAACAAATAGGCTATCTAAGTCCATCAATTAATCAATTGTAAAAACCAGGTGTGTGCACGATTTCCATGATATCTATACGAATTCTTTGTCCAAACAAAAGGCTATTGATATTCACACTAGGGATCAACATATAGGACCAATACCCAATCTTGAACTGGACGTTAACTTGTACCGACTAAGCATATATGGTCCGATATCGGTTCTATGATTTGGAGAAAATGATATTTAGGTATTCGGTTATGTACCAAGGAAAATCCCGACGACCCTGAAACAAATAAACTAGTCCCCAACATTGGTGAGGCTACATTATGCCAAGGTGGGTCAAAATAACATATAACCCATACGGCCATACCCCTCTATTAGACCTACGTTTTACACACATGCAAAAAAAAAAGGCAGTTTCACTTAATACTAAAAGCAAGATGTGAGGCTCTAGTTTGGCTACGTGAGGTGCTACTCTTGGCTAAATTGATGAACAAAAGTAAAAGAGTGATGCTTGCAAGGGACATGCATCAACACTTGGTGACCCTTTTTAATAAAAGCATGATAATTAGAATTTTAATCAATGATAATTGACACTTCCATTTATAGCAATCAAATTTGGTCCAATCTTGTCCCCACTACAAACAAAATCACATTTAGTGGCACAATTTTTTAGTGACATATTTTCTTTCGTGCCACGTACTTTTAATGGCACATCCTAAATTTCACTATAATAATTAATAGATTTAATGACACATAACATTTTATGCTATTAAAAGTCATGTTTATTAATGACACAATAATTTCAAATGAAACTAAAATATTTTGATTTTATTGCATACAAACCATAAGTTTTATTCTATTTAACCATTTTTTATGCAACTGGTATCTCGTTGTTTCATTGTTCAAAAAAGCTATCTTATTCTAGTGATTTTATATTTAGATTTTCATTTTTTTTCCTCCTACCAACTGGAAACTTAGGGCGAAGAGGGAAAACTCTCCCATAAAACACTTAGGGAGAAGAAGGAAAACACAATGCTTTGAACTCCATAGTCGATGCTCTAAACCCCATCGCCACACCATCAATTTGTTGCCCTCGTTGGTGTCCGTTATTCCCCGTCGTCAACGCCCACCGCCATTGATGCCGCATTTGCTTCACCTCACATGTGCTTTTCATTCAATCAGGTAATCCCTAACACCTCATCTTCCTCATTCTTTGCATTCTCCTCAAATTGTGCCTTCTATTTTGATTAAACCATTCAATGGAAATTGTTTTTAACATTTCTTTCACTGCACTCTATTCATTCTTCCCTAATTTCATCTATTTATTTTTACTGATTCGGTGACGTGTCTACAAAAGCAAAATGCCCATGGCTCTCACATGGTAGTTTATAGGTCTGCCGATTTCAGCAGGTTCTTTCTTCCACGTATATTGTAGGCATATATATTTGTGTCTATGGCTTTACATGTGTTTACATCTATATACTTTTGCAGGAGGATCAGTCCCTATTAATTTTTTGGTTATCATACGCAAGTTGATTTATATACTTTGTCTCTATTGATTGTATATGATCCTTTGAAATCTGGATTTTCATTTCGGAAATTCTACCATCTCGAGGGAGAATGTTTCATCTATGTTTCAGTATACATTGAAAATTTATTACAATATATAATAATTTGTTCTTTTCTTTTGATTTGATTATGTGATAGGGAAAGGTTAGTTGAGCAAGACTTGAACATAAGGAGTCCTTGGGCCTTACTAGATTGTGCCACACAATAAATTTCAATCTATATTCGTACCTTGGAACGTGAACGATCATAATTTAGCTAGACAAAGTCATTCGTCTATTACCTCTCAACAATTCAATCAACTGATGAATTTGATAGCTAATTTGAGCCAACAACCACACCTAATGCTGATTAAAAAGTTTCATGGTTTCACTTTGATTGGATATATTCATCTTTTGTTCCTATTTGTCTGCATTCTATTGAGACTTGGGAGGTAAATTCATTGTGCCATCTTATTAGTTATTGTTTCTCTAATTATTGCACCACATGTTCAAATCCCTAAGGAGTTTTATGAATGTAAAAGATGGAAAAAAAATAAACAGTAGTCTTGGATGAACATGTTCTTCTAACTTAAAAAGTACCAAGTGAATCAGCTGCAACTACATACGCCTAATCATTATATTAATGGTTTATAGTATTTAAAGTGGAATCATTAGTGTCAACATGATAGGGTTTATACATGTTTTTTGCATTTATTTTTCATGTGTCTTATCTTGTTATTCTAATCATTTAGTGAGTAGTAGTAGTAGTAGTAGTAGTAGTTCCTTAATCCTTATTATGCATCACATCAAATTGAGTGATCTTCTCCAGTTTGTTCAGACTTAAGAATATGACATTGATCTTGTCCTGTCGTAGGTTTTTCTAATCAGTGCAGTGGTTGTTGATCTACTATTTGTTGACAGAATGCATGTGAGTAGATGAGGTTGGGTTGGGCAAACATTTTCTTTAGCAAAGTTTAATGATTATTTTGAAGGGAAGAAATTAGGAATTTTGTGTTCAAAAGAGGAATGGAAAGGAATGGTTGAGACTTTTATTAAAAGGTGTTTTCATTTCTTTTTGATTTTGACTCTGTTCTTCTGGCTTGATCAACAACACATTCTTACAAACTAAAGATGATAACTGTTAAGATTATGGTTTCTTTTTCGCAGATACCAGAAATCAAGCAATGAAGATTTCCTATCACTGACTCTGACATGTAAGGAAGTTGGTGGGTCCTTTTACACGGTATCTGAAATAGTTTGGAAGATAATTCAAGAGAACCGGGTGCTGGGTCCACCTAAGTCATCTCCAAGAGATGAAAACATGGAGAAGCTAGATAGTTTCTTAGAACACAACCCATTGGGTTCAATGTCTGTATATCTAATGATGGAACCGGTAAAAGGTTACAACTGTCTTTTTGTCACACCCCAAAACCGGAACGGCGGAAATGTTCTGGGGTGGAGGACGTCATGTCTAGTATCACAACCATCGTATAATAGCAATCATAGTAACATAACCATTACTGTGAATACATAAATGAAAAATGTTTACATTTGTTTAAAACTTGTTTGGATTACATCAAAAATGTATGAAAAATAAGTAAATCATGACTCTTGCTGCTCCAGCTTCTCAAAAATCCAGAACGTACCTGTCTACTGATTTCCTGAAAATACAAGCAGTTTTAAAAGAGTATCAGCATAAAGCTGGTGAGTTCATAAGCGATATTTTGAAATGAAAGTTTGTTGATGACTTTGTAAAAAAAATGTTCGCATGTTTCCAAGAAAATCCAGTATTTTCTTTAGTGAAAGTGATGTTATCAATTCTGTTTAAAACTATGAATATTCATTTCTGAAAACTGTTGTGGCATGTGAAAACACTAGTTTGTATGACTAGCTAAGGCTAATCATAATATGTATGTATTCTGTATAAAAATCATTGTATAATCGATTCCGTTTGCAAACCCTGGCTTTCATCAGTATGTGTAGTGTGTTTTATTACTTGAAGTAAGTTCATGATATGAAATCCCTGAAATCCTCCAGTTGTAGTGTGTAATAGTTCTATTAGTGAAAATAAAACTATTGAAGAATGAACACCCATAAATCCAAGTAGTTTATACATATTGTGAGTCGTATAACCATGCTTGATATGACCTAGAGACTTTTACAACGTTCTTCAAGTGTTGGTTAAATGACATTTGTCACCCCAGGCATGCCTGCCTAACTGTAGCTAGCAGTTCAGGTGTGGGATTGTCAATCCCGAATAGATCTATTCACAAATCTCACGCTCTCCCTCAGGAGACTCTGGTTATACTATGATAGGATTTAGCCCTGTACACCTAAGGGTACAGTTTTGAAGTAGTGTCTCACAATGTTGTACAATCTAGTTTACATGTAATTCTATGGTGTTATACTGTAGTGAAATACGTATGTATACTGTATGTAGTGACAATTATACTTAAATAATTATGAAATGCCATGCTCATGTAGTGATGTATACCATAAACTAAATCTGTCATAGTTTATAAGCTTAGTAGTGATAAATCTCTGGACTTGTAAGAGTTACGTTTAGAAAATCTCAAACTATACCTATTATAGTTTGTGCGTATGAATATGTATGAACTTGTATAATTTCCCAAACTATACCTATTATAGTTTGTATGTATAGTGTAGTTGATGTGGATATTGAATCTGAAAAACTATGCAATTTTAGTTGTAAGTTGAAAGCGTCCCATATGCTCAACATGGTACAAAAGGGATAAGATATGAGAATTGCATGAGTTTTTATACTTGTTAAAAGACCCTTTTGTATTAGTTCACAAAAAGCATTCATGTGTGGCTTGTACGGCCACCCTAGGGGTGTGTACGGCCATGTGTGGCTTGTACGGCCACCCTAGGGGTGTGTACGGCCATGTGTGGCTTGTACGGCCACCCTAGGGGTGTTCACAAAAAGCATTCATGTGTGGCTTGTACGGCCACCCTAGGGGTGTGTACGGCCACCCTAGGGGTGTGTACGGCCACCCTAGGACAAAGTGCTAAACTCACATATGATTGAGTGAGGGAGGTGTACGGCCACCCTAG